AAAGGCCAAGTGGGGCGGGCGGCAGTGAAGAAAGAGCCTGGACATACAGCAAAAGCTCCCGAAATCTAGGAAACCCGCTCTGACCGTCGAAGGCAAACCCCGCGTTTAGCTATACTAGTAGGAAGGATACCGCGAGGGAAATTATGGGGTCTGTACCTACCGAGATGTCTATGAGGAGTTCACGTTCGACTTGGGGAAGATCTGAAAAAGCATGGACAAAATTACAGTTCATATCTTGAAATCTGATCAGGCGTGTCTATAGATTTGACGTGGGCGTCGCCGCACTTGAAAAAGTCGTGTGGATAAGCTGTTTCTAACATACTCCGCTGGATATCAGCAAAGCATGCTGGAAGCAGCTTATCCGCGCAACTTCTATCAAGTGCGGCGACGTCACGTCAAATCTATGAGCACACCTATCAGACTTCGAAATATGGATCATAAAAATGACTTGAGTGAATTTTCAGGATGAAGAACTTCGAGCTGGATACCACGACTGTGTGCATTCTGAATGGATGGCACTTCAACCAAGTTGGATTTTTGCGGATCAAAATTTCGTTTATCAACGTATCCATTCTCATTAAGATTTACCGTTTTGTTGTACTCTTTAATAAATGAATGTTGCTTAGAAGTTGCTATTTTGCAAGCACCTATGGAATCTTCATTCATCTGTTTAAGTTAGCGGCACCTTCTCAAAACTCTGTCGCCGGTAGCATTTCGCCTGAATTTTTCTTCTTATCTCGAAAACCAACGAGAAGGACGCTGGCTGTGGTGGATGCTCACGATCAGTTCAATGCTCGCTGAGCAGAATGTTCAAGCTCAATTACAGGGTGAATAACGGTCGAGGAATTCCTCGACCATGCTCTGTACTGTGCGAGAGTAGTGCCGAGAGTGAACGTACGCGCGGAGAGCACAGACGGCTCGCGCATGGCGAGTGTGAATGTCCGCGCGAGAGCGTACTGATCAGGCGAAAATCCTCGACAAGCAGTTGAGGAATCCTCGACCGATATTTACCCTGCTCAATTGACCTTCTTTCTGATCGGCTGATCTCTTGAGAGTTCTTAGGAAGTATCGATCTTTCCTCACCGAGGCATATCTCACATCAGCAACCGAAAAAATTTGAAGGAAAAAACTTATTAATTCCTGTAAGACGGTCGTGGGACGCCAGCAATGCCAAACTTTTCAACTGATGCAACTGGTATAGTCAAAGAAAGTGTGGGGTATATTTATTAGAGTTTACCCACGTTTTGTATACACCGGTATATTAGTCAAACGGGAACAATGTACAGACGCAGTTCATTTGTAGGCATAATGGAAAGGGAGGTCATAACAGACACAAAAAACATCTCTGATATATTTTTGTAGAACATATCTAACCTAGACTTTACATAATCACATAAATTATCTCTAACCTACATCTAACTGTGAACCTACTCCGCACAGCTGAATCGGTGCATACGTTCAAAAATAAAATATAAGAACAATCAAAGAGATAAAAACTGAGAAAATTGTCAAAATGGAAACAGCGAACTATTGATAACAAAAAGAAATACGAAAACCTACGAAGGCACAATACAAGTTTTTTTTACGTTTTCGCCAAAGATTTTCAGGTTCTTCTATACATCCTTACTATGAAGCCTTGGGGTCAATGCCGACAGCTATATTTTCCTCAAGTTCCTTACCAACTGATTTAGAACTCGAGCTTGTCGTTTTAGTTGGGGGATTGGCCGCTAAGTGGTGAGGGAATCTGGCAATTCCATGATTACAATAGGATAGTGACAACTAAAACCCAAGTAAGCACTGTTATTCAAAACAGTTGTAAAAAAATTGGCATTTTCCTATGTGTTTAGGAAAAGGAATGAGAGAACTAACCAGTCAAACTCTGCATGAGACCATCAATAACTTTGGGCACCATTACGCTAATGTCGTCGTCGTGGGGTTGGAGGACATCGACAATGTGCTCCATGTACCTAGAATCAGGTGAGTTTGGCTTGACTTTCCTTTAGTTTGCGTAACATTTTTGCTTAGTTTTCCAAATGTAAAAAAAATTGAAGCTCTACATTAACTAAGAAGGGCATACGCAAAACTCTTACCGAAATTTCAGATCAGTGTCCGAGTCGAGGCGTAACGAAAGCTGTTGCAGGAGAGATAGCAGCACAGGTTGTGATAGAGTACCCGGATAACGGAAAATCTCATCAGGATCGACATTGTTACAAACAAACTCCAAAGCAGTTTGATCACCCTGGTTTAACGCCTGCAAAGTACTCACATCCGACTTATGAATAAAATGTCGAGGCATTATCATCTTCCACACAAATGAAATCATCAGCAAAACATTATAAGCCTCTTGAAATGAGCTATAGATGTCTTTCTGCGGTGTCAACTGACACAATCCCAAAGAGTGCAAAAAGCGTATATAAAGCTAATCCATACAACACAAAATTAAGGAATCCTTCCCGGAAAAATCTTGCATTCTTTCCCAACACGCATATGTCAGTTGTGATCACTAGAGACAACATACAAAGTTTCACGCACAAAGATTCAGTTTCCGAAGAGAAACAAACTTACAAAAACCACACTCTATGGACAATCGAAGGTAAGTGGCGCGGAGCCAAAGGCGGGGCATGGAAAGAAGTCCGCCTTGGGGCGGCTACGTATCAGGCGACGCAATGAAAGAATCGGGTTAAAGCGTGCGATTTTGGAGAGTAGAGACAAATCGATCGATAGAATAGGATGGAGTAGAAGTGTGAGATGTGAATGCAATAAGTCAAAAGGCCAGAAAGAGTTTCTAGTGACGGCACTCCAAGAACCAAGTGGAAGCATTCCCGTCGCCAGCATTTGTGACAGATGTCCGGCGGTACTTTGAACGCGTAGCAGCCCTTTCGGTTTTTCGAATTTTTTTTACCAAAACAAATGCAATTTTTTTGTTCTTTTCGTTCTTTATCCTGAATGAAAAGTTCCAGGCCAGTGAATTATGGGAGAGATAGAATCACGATTTTTCCGAAAAGGATTCCTTTCGCAAAGGCGAATATCGTCAAGCCATGAAGCAAAAGAATCAAGCATTCATCGAATATTTTACACCTTGAACTCGAATCAAATTCTTCCCCTATCGGAATCATAAATACTTACCGTTTCGAACGCAAGGGGTATTTGGTTATTTTTAATCATGTGAGCAAGAGCCTGTCGGTCGGCACCGACGGAAAGCGAAGGAGCTGGTGTAGCGGTTGCCGCAACGGCTGCCAATGTAGCTGTTTGCAGTGCTCGCATTTGCTGCAGGTACTGAACAACAGAAATAGTAAAGCGGGAAAGGAAAATTATCAAATGCGAAAACATCACAAATATTACAGAAATAGCTAGTAGCACGAGAATATTCCATAGGAGAAGCATTCGCACCTGGTCAAGACCATGACGGAAATTGTCATTAAGCTGCTTGAATAGCTGCGCGCAAATCCGTTCTATAGCTGGTACCACCATCGTTGTTAATTGCTCTCGTAATCTTTCAGTAACTCTGTGAGAAACAGCATCCGCACTCAACTGAAATTAAAAATGTAAGAAAGGAGACAGGAGAAGAAATTAAGGCCAATATGCAGAAGGGATTTTGTAAGATCAATTATGTAATTAGGGCAGTAAAGTAGAGCGTACCGTCTATTTAACGTCTTTTTCAAGAGGGGAGTACATGAGGACAATACATAAATCCGAGAAGGAAATTTTAAAAAATAATCAGAGTAAACTTCTATTTCCAGAATAAAAAGCACAACCAATCAATATTATGGATTGGAAAAATCAGATGCACATTCAAATGGGTGTGGGTCGTTAGGATAGAAAACAGCTTTGCCATTATTTGCAGAGTTTTCTCGTAGCGGGAACCCCAGGTCCATTACTGACCAGTGGTAGTCCTGAGCTTACCGCAACGAGAAAAATTCGCACTACAAAAAGCGGTCAAGCCTCTATTTGCCCTAGCGAACCACACCCCATTCAAAAGCATTTTGGATTTTGATGGAACGATCTGGCCAAAGTGATGAACCGTGCTGACTCCAAAAATTTTCAAAGGTTTCACACCACACAGCCCCTTCACGTCACAAATACCCAAAAATCTGTAATCCCGCCGTCAGTCTCAATTATACCCTTCCTCGTTGAACATAACCAGCGTGCCGTTTGGGCAGCCCAGCCAAGAATAACAACGTTTCACTATAGTCTTTAGCTTTGAAAAAGCGAACGCGGAAGAAGTTCTATAAGGAAACGACAGTGACCTTACCTTATGGTTTGCTTGAATAGAATTTTCTACGGCCACTGAATTCTCATTGAGCGCGTTTCGGACAACATTAATAGTCTCGCGATGATTCGTCTCAATCAAATCCGACACATTCGCCAGCAAACGATCCTCACGCAGCGAAAACTCTTCTTCTGAAATAATATCCCAACATTTCCATGGAATCATCCAAAATTCGTGTTTCCAAGATTATTTAAGAGATATAATTCGTGCCATACTATGATTGCTGTTGACTTGAATTGAATTTGCCGAATTCCTTTGGAGAAGAATTTCTGTTTTGTAGAGAAACAATAATTATGTCCCAGAAGAATAAGTTCGCCCCATTTTTCTTCGATGTCGTAATAACAAGAATAACACTTGGAACTCTGTCACAC